TGATGGATTTCCTGATTTATTGTTGCATATAATGTTTGAACAAAGAAAAATCCTCCATGAAAGATCCAGAATCAAAAGGTTTTTTTCAGCACACGTGCTCATCATGGATATCAAAAACATTTCCTCTGCTAAATAATAACAATAACCATCCATATCCCTTCTAAAAAAAAGTACAAATATAAAAAAGTTGTTGCGAAAATACACTTCCACTTTTTACATTTCATTTTAGTCAAGGTTAACATGTCCCATGCTTAGATCAGACATCCTGACACTCTTTTAAGGTAAGACATTTCTTCAAATAAACGTTCAAATTAGAATGTAATGTGATTTTAAAACAAATGGCATTGTGATGGAAAGTCATAGAGCCATTCACTCCCTAGAGACACACCCAAACTAAGGCAGACTTTGCTTGAATGCTCGGCAGATTATGTTGAGTGAATAACACATGGACGTAGTCTCAGTGATGTCACCCATTGGTTTCTGAAGAGGTGTTTCAAGTCCTACTATGGAGGTTTCCATATTGGAACTGCTAAACAAACTTTCAATTTAGCCTAGAAACAGGCAAATAAGTGGAGCTGAGGCGGGTCCTCAGCCTCCTGTCAAACAGCTACAACATGCACAGTTTTTTGCACTTCCGTATTGGCTTCATTTTTCAATACCCGAGGTTGTCAATGGTCAGGACATTCTCTCTATGCAACCATTGACAGTTGCTTATCTGACACCTATACCAAACATTAAAGGAAAAAAATGAATTGAACACAATGAACTCCATACACAAGTCCAAATCAAATTATTGGACACCTCATTATTATTACAAATCAACAATAACCTCCTACCTTGTAATCTAAGGTCTTATATACATTCATTTCACAATATTTAAAACGTGTTGCTATCATGCAGGTGTTAATAAAACTAGATATGGTAAGCTATGACAGTATTGAAAAACTGTTGGAAATGCAAATTTGATGTAGTTTTTTTGTATAGTTAATTTTTACCTTGACTTTGATTTTGGTGAGTGCTGTGCAAACTTTGATAACACATCTGTATTTTTACTTCTTAAATCCAAGTTTCAGGAGACTTTGGTTAAAGATACAGAGAAAGACAGAAATTGGTTTATATGTTTAAAATGATCTCAGACAGAATATATGGGGGGCAGGTAGCCTAGCGGTTATGCTGTGCGCCCATGCACAGAGGCTGTCGTACTCTTTGCAGCGGCCATGGGTTCAAAACCGACTGAGAAACCCTCAGCAGCATGTTATCCCTTTCTCTCTCCCAATGAACCCTCCAAACATTTCCTGACTCTCTTCAACTGTCCCATCTAATGAAGGCAAAAAAGGCCCAAAACACAAAAAAGACAGATAGATAGATTTTAGAATTTTCTTTTGGTATGATTTCTAATAATATGCATATTACAACTCTCATCAAGTCATTTTTTTTTATTTCTCCACAGCATCACCAGGTGAAGTCGGTTCCTCTGCTGTTGCCCCACTTGTTGCAGCAACCCCTGCTAATACTCCTGCAGCTGTTCCTATTGCTACGCCTGCTACCAATGCTGCTGTTGGTGTCCCTTGCCTCATTAATTTCATTGCTCCACCAATAAAGGCTCCCAACAGTGCTCCTGTTGTAACATCTGCAAATTTAAACATATGCTTTGCCAACACTTCGGTTTTAGCCATGTGTATGATCTCCTTAGTTGACTTGTTTGCAGATGATCGTCTGATGTTCTCTTGTTCTTGTTGTTTGTCTCTTACCGCTGCTTGTATCCTCTCAGTGGTAAAACAGCCTCCTTTGTTCTCTTCAATAAGTTTATCTATTGTTTTAAGAAGCTCTTCCACCTGGAACTGGTTGGCCCTGTATTCATCCTGCTCTTTGGTCTTCCAGTATTTATTGTCAACGACGTGGCACCGGCCTCCACACTTCTTCACCAGGTCCCTCAGATATTCACATTGTTCGACAAACTCCTCGATCTTCATTTCCTCAGGGAGCTGGTCGCCATGAGAAAAGACAACTATGGCAAATTTTAAAGCCTCCTCTGAGAAATACTTTTGTATCTCGTCAATGACTTCCTGTTCGTGCTTGGTGAATTTCTCCACTTTAAGCAGGATGAGAAAAACATGAGGCCCAGGAGCGCACTCTATGATACACCTGAGTATTTCAGGCTTCATCTCCTCCTGAGCTCTGTCTGTGTCGAAGAACCCAGGAGTGTCGATCCACATAATCCGTCTGCCATTGACACATTTGTTTTCTGCTTGGCATTCTGTCGTACCGGATTTGGCTGAACTGTCTGTCTTGAACACAGTCTCTCCAAAAATGGTGTTAACCAGGCTGCTCTTCCCAGCTCCAGTTTTTCCCAAGACAACTACTCTTTTTGTCGATTCTAAAAGACAATAATGACTTTGTCTCAGTGATATTGATGTCAGAGTTTTTATTTTACAACACTTTACAAAAGAAGACCCCAACATGAAAATTCCATGCACAATCATGGCAAAAACTGTGCTGCAGTGTTAAGGACAGATATCCTTTTAACGGCAGAAACCTTGAAAAGATAAAACCTGCATCCTTGGTCATTCATATGCACATTATTGTGAGGTTGCTGTTTATACTTATAAATACAAGTACTTTAAATTGATATTAACACAGCTGTATTGGAAAGGTATATTATACTACATTACACAAGATGGTTTTAAATATCTTATTAACTTAGTCTGTGTGAGAATTATTGTCACTGTAACAATAGTTTACAAGATGGACTGATATGCATGCTGGCACATAAAGGTGAGGGTGAAACATACAAATTTATAGAAAAACTACATGTAAAGTAGCCAAACTTAGTTAAGTTATTAGGGCTTTAACAATAAGTGCTCTGTTACCTAAATGTTCTACAATATACTCACAATCAATGATATGAAATGCAGGCACTTTGCAAAATAACCTGTTATTCCAAGTGACTCACTGAAATAATTGCATTTGTATTTATAATTGGGAATAAGTAACCATAACTTACCATCCATTCTTGAGAAAATGTAGACAAGTCGAGGGTTTAGAGAATGACTCTGATCTCAAGGACGTGACAGCGTGTCTTCCTCTGTCCGGTTCCAGTTTCCTCCACCTGGTTTTTCCACCTGTCTGACGTGGTTCTGGGCAGCAGGCTAATGAGCACATCACACAGTACACTTCTATTTTTATCAGCGTGCGTATGAACAACCAGTTCTGTTGCATGTCAGGAAGCTCCACTATTCAGTTATTATACAAAAGTCAAACACAAGTTATATAGTGTCGGGTCAGAAAGCATCAAGAAAAAATTAAAGCAAAACTAACCTTATTTTTTTCTGTCACTCATGCACTTGTGAATATCCCATACCTTACATTAAAGCTTACTCATTGAGGTTCTAGTCCTTTACATACCAAGTATGCTTCCTTATACATCTGGTGTTTCCACGGCAAAGATAAACATGTTGTGTCTGCCATGACAAGACAAAAATATGAAATGACAGAATTCTCTGGCTTTGATTACTGTTGGAAATATTTATGTTAATGTAAATACCCAAGAAAAATACATTCATAACAGGTTTTATAAATTTAAATTTTCCCAAACATTCTAATAAAAATCAATATGTAACTATGACACCTAGTGTTTAAAATGGGTTCTGCAGTCAAAATTCAAACATTGTAGAGAACTCATTAGAAACATGCAGAGGCTTTTTAGGTTGGGTACAATCAGTTATATTTGAAGCAGATCACTTGAATGTTATCATCACTGCAACTTGGTTTGCCTGGAAATCCGAGGTGCGAGGGGCAAAATTGCCGCCTGTGGTGCCTTAAAACCACCTACTTCTCTGGTCCAAACAAATCCAGAGCATTCAGGAGCAGAATCTAAAGTTAGAAGGACGACATACTAGCTGCTGCATTGTTGTCAGAGAAGCCAGCACTTCAACATATCATGTTTCCTTAATGTTTGATCATATAGTAAGGTTACTTTATCGTTTACTTCAGCAGATATCTGACATATTTGACCTTTAACACTGTTGATTTGTTTGTTTTTGAAAAGTTCACCCTTTTTATACTTTCCCGAAGTATACTGGAATACTTTTCTTCTCCCATATATTACAAGAATCCACATTTTTCCAGAGTGTTTTTCCAGAGTTTCTATAGAAAAAAGGACTTACAAAAGAAATGAGTGTTGATCTTTTTATTGCTATGTTTGATATACATGTTCAGAATACAGAGGATTGAGAGGGTTCAATGAAAATCATTCTGTTCACGTCAATAATAATGACATCTATCAGCCCACATTTCTTATCTAACATTAATCTACTTCAGTGAAAAACACAAGAAAACATTTAGACATTAAACAGCAACTCTGAAACTGGAGATAAAAGGTTAAATGGATATCTATTACACAACAATTTTCAAAATAAAGATTTCTGTCAAACATTTAATCAACAGCCCAGTAAGTTCATTACAAAAGTCAATGTATTATGTTACTTTATTCCTCTGATTTTGAGGACATTGTGCCTCATTCACCATTCATTCTTATAAAGAAATTTCTACATTTTAAGAAGATTCTGGGATTCATTGCATTTCATGTAAAACTACATTTGTATAATATTAGTCCGTAGGGTTTACAATATTTAATTTTAATCCCACTGCTGAATCAAACAGTTTGTTTGCTGCTGACCTTCTGCAGTAGTACCTCCACTTCTAACTGCTAAAGTTTATTCTGCGTTAGAGTCCCAGGCATCTCCACAACCTGTTTTTTTTTGCTACCAGCATGTGTTTCTGTGAGTCTGCCCTGCACTTGCTGTTTTATGGGCATTAGTGGGCGGTTACGATGCTAATTAGGAACAACATGCACACGCTTTCAACTTACAAACACAAGGAGAGCACAGCAGCAAATAATTTGGTCATTTAGAACAGTTGGTTAATCTGAAGGAAAGTGAATTTTAGATTAGTTCTACAAGAAGATTCAACTTTGTCTCTTTCTTTGAACTTTGACTCATCTACATCTCATCTATTCTTTTTAAGATATCTTGGGCTCGTTCTGTGACTGCATCTGCCGCCTTCTCTGCTGCTTCCTGCATTGTTTCTGCTTCCTCAACTGCAAGATATCCTGTCACACCTCCTGCCACACCTCCCACTGCAGCAGTCACTGCTAAAGCCTTGAATGCTACTGATGGGATTGTTAATGCTGCTGTTTTAGCTGCTTTTCCAGCTGCTGTTTTAGCTGCTTTTCCAGCTGCTTTTCCAGCTGCTGTTCTAGCTGCTTTTCCAGCTGCTGTTTCTGCTGCTAACTTTGAAATTTCTGAAAGTGATTCTTTCATGTCTTTAAGACCTTTCATTATTTTAAGAACTGCTTTGATCATTACTTTCACACCAAAGTAAGCTCCTAACACTATACCTACTGCTGTACCTGTCATTAGAATCAAAAGCTTCTTAAAGACGTTAAGCTTAGCCTTTTCTCTGATCTCTTCCTCTGACATGTTTTTTGATGACTTTCTAATGGGTTCCATCTCGTCTTGTATTTTGTTCTCCACTTCTTGAAGCATCTCATTGGTGTAGTAGCCATCCTTGTTGTCCTTTATCGTCTTCTCCACTGTCTTAAGTATCTCCTCCACCTGGAACTGGTTGCTCCTGTATTCATCCTTTGGCTTTTCTTTCCAATATTTGTTGTCGATGACATGGCAGCGGCCTCCACACTTCTTCACCAGATCACTCAGATTCTGATCCTTGGAGACAAAATCTTTAATTGTCTGTCCTTCTTGGAGCTGATCACCATGAGTAAAGACAACTGTTGCAAATTTTAAAGCTTCTTCAGAAAAGTGTTCTGTTATTTTGGTAGTGACTGCCTGTTCGTGCTCTGTGAATTTCTCCACTTTAAACACAATGAGAAAAGCATGAGGCCCAGGGGCGCTCTCAACAATACACTTCACTATCTCAGGCTCCAGACCATTTTCTGACATGTTGGTGTCGAAGAAACCAGGAGTGTCGATCAAAGTGAGGCTCTTTCCATTAACACATTTGGTTTCTGCTTTGCATTCACTTGTTTCAGATTTGGAAGTATGGTTGATTTTGCATATGTCCTCTCCAAATATGGTGTTCACCAGGCTGCTTTTCCCAGATCCAGTTTTCCCCAAGATAACAAGTCTCCTTGAGCCTGAAAGGGAACAATGTCACATCATTAATATGAATTATACTACATTTCTCAGGAGCTTGGTGGTATAGTTGCTTATTTTTGTATCATACAGCTTTTCAGTATATAGCTTAAGGGCACATTATCTTGTACTTTTGTATGTCTGCTGTGTTTTTTACTCATTTGAAGCAACAATTATTCATCAATAGTCATAACACTTTCCAGTCACAAATGTTAAACGTGATATAAAAATGTATAAATCAAGATGAGCTCTAAAAGTCAAAGTTGTGATCAACTAAGCTAATGTTGAAGTCAAGTTTCTGAGTCAACTCACTATAATCCAAGCTGAACTACAACTTCTTGATCTCAGATTAAATGTTTTGCCTAGAATTGTCATCCAGACAAATATCGTCTGGATGACTTTTAATACTTTAAAATATTTTTACAGATATGAAGAAATGAGTTTGCCTTTGACATGTGACGTGATCATTTTATGGATAAGTGTGCATCTCCACACTGTAAGTTGGTCATTTTAGATCAGAGTGAATGGTTTCGATACATTTTAAAAGAGTTGATCGTAGCTTACCATCCATGTTGTTGAAAGAGATGTCAGTGATGAGTGAAAACTGTTTAGAGCTGAAAGTCCATCGACCTGTGCGTCTTTTCTCCGGTGATCAGACTCCTGTGCTTGCACACAAAATGTCTTCTATTGTCTGCTAATTGGTTTCATCGCTGTCTCACGCCCATTTATTTTCTTCATAAGGTTATAAGAGAACAAGAAATGCATGTTTGAATTATTTTTCATGGCTGCACAATGACAGCTGAAAAACCTGTAGTCATGACATGACACACCACACGCTTTGAAATCAAATGTGGGTTGAACTGAACACTTCATTTGCTCAAACTACTGTAATGAAAAAAACAACAACATTATGCATTATGCACTTCCCGAGCACTGCCGAGGTGCCCTTGAGCAAGGAACCAAACCCCAAACTGCTCTGGTGCACTCTCTGCTTAGTAGCTTGTAGCAGCCACTCTGACATCTCTCCACTAATGCATGTCCACAGGATCCTGTTTGTGCATGTGTGTGATTTATAAAAAATCAAAAAAATTCAGATCTTTATTCATCAACTCACAAATATTTCCATCACAATGCATGATTTCACATGTCACAATACTGATATTTTGGTATCAAGATACGGGGATGTCTACAGCATTTTTCTTTAAAACATTATTTGCAAAAGACAGTATTGGTAAATGGACTTGTATTTCGCTTTTCTAGTCTTCTAACGACTCAAAGCACTTTTATGTCACACCTACCCATCCACACACTGGTGACAGAGTCTTCTTCGTAAAGTGAACATCAGAAGTAACTAATCCCTTTCATACGTCGCCAACAAAGCAGCGCGAGATGCTTGGGGTTAAGTGTCTTCCCCACTTTCTAATCCATCATCAAATCAACACGAAGGTTCTTATTTTAATCTCTATACAGGTAGCTCTAGTTCAAATGTTTATACTAAAACATTTTATATATTTGCATGTTATAAGGAGAGCAGTAATATTTGTATCAGTCTAACAGCAATTTTTTTATAAAGGAAGGAAAGCAATCAGAGAGAAATTGGGAATAGAATGTGTTTTATTATGTCAATGTTGAACATTTAAAGTGGACACATCAAAAAAAAAAAAATTTTTAAACATGAGATTTTTTCACTACCAATAATCAACTGCAGTAAAACATACAACACACACTCAAAAGCACAAGATCAGTTGCGTTTTCCAGAAAGTCACCGAACTGTATGTTAAAAAAAGAACAAATGAGTCATCTTTTTACTTTCAAATGTGTGTTAAAAATTAAAAGTTCAACATGATCAAAAACATTTGAAGCCACACATATACTGAAGATGCAGGGAATAAAGATAGAGATAGATACATATATGCATTTATAATTAGTACAATGATAAAAATTATGATGATAGATACTCTCCATTATATTTAAACAATACCAGAAAAATAATGTTGATTATTAAAAACACAGATTGTATGGAGAAGGTCAGCCAAGATCTTTGTGACTACTACTACTTTAATAAATGATGGGGATCTACTAACACATCGCAGTACATACAAATATGGACAATTATAATCGATGTAGCGCAATGCTATTTTTAACAAGCAGAGGGCGCTATGCTTTTGGTTTCTCTTGTTCGATGTAAGAAGATGAAGCAGTAGCACTTATCGGTGTCACGTTATAAAGACAAAAATATGCACAGATTCCTAGCAGAGTTGGAAATTAGCACCCATCACCCGCCCCGAGTGGCCATACAAGGAACTTTAAGCCATTGTAAAAAATTCAATTGTGAAACATATATATTGTTTTCCATAGAATGTAATTTACATTTTTGTTATTGTGACTGTCACAAATTGCCATGCTGCTAAATAATATATTTTTTTAATCAGCTCAGAAGAAAAGTAAATAAACATTTGAGCAGTAGACATGAAATGCTCCTTCGAAGTGACATTTATAACCCCTGTTTCATTACCTTCATACAAAAATCAGAGCATTGGAATTGGATTTAGGACAATCTAAGAGTAACATACCTCTATAAAAGTATTAGTAGTACCACTAACACAGTAAACATTAGTAGTACTCCAAATATTAGGAGGAGGGTTCTTGCACACCACAAGATAACAGTAGTATGAGGAAGAAAACCACCACCAGCAGTATGATTGCGACAAGTCTAGGTAGGGTCTTCAAAAATTCAATGAACGCTATAAAAGCCACTGCTCCTGCTGCCTCCGCTCCTGCTCCTTTTTCCAGTTCCGTCACCTTCTTGCCTTCTGCAGTTTTTTATTTTTCTGTTTCATCTTTCTCACCTTCTTCCACTTCCTCCTCTTCTACTCAAATAAGATTTGTGGACGAATAATGGGATGAATCAATAAATGAAAATTTGCTATATGAGTGAAAGAAGATTACTTAGATAGAAACCATATTAACTCTTTAAATCCCATAATGACCAAGAAGGAGTGAGAAAATGAAAAATGAAGCCAATGAGGAAGCTCAAAATCCTGCAGTTCACTGAGTGTCCACTTGAGGCTGGCTCCAAAAGAACAATAAGTCACATACACACCCAAGCCAAAAAAGCAAATTTTTGCAGTGTAAATGAACGTGTTTACAGCCTGGTACAAAAACCATATATTGGTCTGATTAATTATTGTCAAACAGTTCAATCAAGCTGATTTTGACACTCACTCATGTTGGACAGGGATAGTCTCCCGCTGTGAGGGGCATGTGTGAACAACCATAGCAGGAGGATTTCAGGGGCAGCCCGCCTGAAATGTTCTATACATTTCTAGAGTGCATAATGTGAAAATGGCTTTATTGAAAAATGCAACTATGGGATACCTCTGCAGCTACAAAGACGCCCCTGAAGTGCTGTATAAAATAAAACAGGAGCTTGATGGGAAATAATTGTGCATGACTTCAATGAATAGAAAATAATTCCAAAGACATTTTAATAATCTAATTGATTTAAAAGGAGGGTGAGTGCTGCATATCTCTGTGGCTGTACAGGGTGGTGTCTTTGTCTTCCAAGGTACAGACTGAAAGAATGTGTTTTTGGTTTATTTATAAGATGGTTACAGTTTCCACTCGAGAATAATAGGTTGTATAACCAGACTGACATGACCAAGGGTGAGGTTGCTAATGCGAACTCCAACCAAACAAAACACCAAGCAAGAATTCTCTAGGTCTGTCTTTTCTTCCCGTTGACCTTCCTATATCACAAACAAACAAAATGTGTTTATTAATTCATCCTATATCTATACTGTTTCACCCATTCAGGGTCAAGGGGGATTGAGCTGATTCCACACATGCTCCCAGAGAACATACAAACTCCACATAGAAGTGCTCCTGTTGGATGGGGATTTGAACCAGGAACCTTCTCCCTGTGAGGCAACAGTGCTAACCGTTGCACCACTGTGCAGCCCTTTTTAAATTTTGTATCATTTCTTTTAATTTGTATCAATAGTGCAGTGACTTTTGAAACTGTTGACAATCAAAAGCAGTGGTTAGATGGTGATTGCAGCTGCAGTGGCCTCTATGCTGCACATTATCATTCCTCTTATGGGCAGAGTATTTTGTCTCCGGTGATTCAGAGCAAGTTGAAAGGAATTTATTTGTTGTGTTTTGTTTTTTCTGGCAGCATCTATTCCCAGCTTCTGGGAACCAGGTGCACCGGTAAACAGAAAGTAAAGGCTTAGTGTTTAAAGGAAAGCCTGGCTCATTTCTTGTAAATGATGACAGAACTCTAAATGTACACCGCAATTTTCTGTGAAGTTCAAATATTCAGATTGCAAAATCTTACTTTTGAACTGACTTTGTAGCGTGAAGAAAAGTCAGTTGTTAAAATAATTTCCCCTATTATTTTGGTAGAAGAGTAGCCTCAGTAGTTAGTTGGTTAATTAGTTATTTGGTACTTTTTTTTGGCTTTATTGAGAGATAGGACAGTGTACGAGGTCAGAGGTCAGATTTGAGCCCTAGCTGCCTGCTATGTCCTCCGTACTGTATGTCGGGTGCACCCACTAACCACTATGCCACAAGAACACCCCCCCAACCCCCAACCCTTGTCAGTAATCCAAATGAGAAGCCACATATAACTTTGTTTTAGGCCATCTCTCATGAAGGTTCAGTTTTCATTAACCCTTTGAAGGCATTTAAAACCAGACAGACATTTAGCTACAAAAAATGTATTTTCACCTCCAGATAAAGGTCAGTCATTTTCAACTCTGTGTTGTTTTTCATCAGGTGTGTATCGATCAGGAATAGATTGGGCTTTAGTTGGTATTTACAGCAGGGCAGTTGTGTGTTATTTGTTGTAGCTTTTGGTATTTCAGTGAAACTTATTGTCCGTAAGAAAATGTGTATCATCAACTTCTTTTACAGTGAATTTGAACAGAAACAACTGAAATGACATGTGACCAATCAGCAGCTTTATTGTTGCATTGTACATGTAAAAATGCAAAACATACTGTTGAAAATATAAGAAAGTAAGTAATCACCCTTTAAGGTTACAACACGGATTAGGTACAACATTTCCATAAAAATGAGAGAGATAAAAAACAAGTAAAGATAAGAACTGAGGCTAACATATTCTGACTTTGAGTGTGTAGCTTAAGCTCTAATATTGCTGCAACCAAGTTATCTCATTGTAAGCCGCTGAACGTCCACCATGTTGAAAGCCCACACCTTCAGTTTTGAATCAGTATTTTTTCAATTGTCAAGCCAAATGATGTTGACAGGGTTTCCATCTGTGAAAACTGATTATGAATAAACAGTCGGAAGAATAAAATGCAGATTTCATCAGGTTTAGTTTAATCCTGGAACCCATTGGCTTTCATATGACAAAGACTTAATTTATATTACAAGCAAAAAAATCCAAGCTAACAATCTTGTCCTATGTGTCAATTGTCACTTTGACTGAATTCTTGTGTCTCAAGTTGCTAGCGGGACTGTAAACCATAACCAGCACATAGAAAGTAGTCTTAACTCTGATGTCTTTTATTGCTTTTTTTAATAACTCCTGGCTGTACTAAGCCCCCCCAAAAAATTGTCTTCCAGAAGCTACCAATGTCAATGTCATCTTAAAGTCCATCAGTGTTTATTAAAATAAACACCAAGGATCATGAGTTCCTTCAAACAAAGCATACCATGTGTCGATGAAATCTTCCCATATTGGTGTAATCTCCACAATGGGTTGAATGACATCTTCGACTGCCTCTGCTATGACGCTGGCTTCTGGAGTCACATCTGGAACAACATTTACCATCTCTTCTACGACTGTTGCTATAGGTGTTGCTATTATTTCTGTAACTGCTTCCGTCGTCCCCATCCCAACTTTAAAATTGATGAACGCAGCCGAGACAGCAGCAAGTATTCCTGCAATGACCGCAAAACCCACTAAACCTCTGATCCACCTTTTTGGTGTTTTTTCTGTCATGATCGTAAAGACGTTGCTTTTTGCCTGCCTCCTGATCTCTTCCTGTGAGATGCTTCCCGATGACTTTTTGATGCGCGCTTCCTCTTTCTGTATTGCTTTCTCTACTTCCTGTAGCATTTCATTGGTGTAGAAGTCTCCGTTGTTCTCCCTCACTATCTCATCTATGGTGTTGAGCAGTTCTGCCACCTGGAACTGGTTACTTCTGTATTCGTCGTCTTCGTTGGCCTTCCAGTATTTATTGTCAACGACGTGGCACCGGCCTCCGCACTTCTTGACCAGATCACTCAGACCTCCACTTTGTTCGACGTACTCTTCGATTTTCATTCCTTCAGGGAGCTGGTCACCGTGAGTGAAGACAACTGCAGCATATTTGAGAGCGTCCTCAGAGAAAAAATCACATATTTTTGCAATGACAGCCCCTTCATGCTCGGTGAACTTCTCCATTTTCAGCACAATGAGAAAAGCATGGGGCCCAGGAGCGCACTCTGTGATACACCTCACCATCTCAGGCTTATTTTCTTCCTCAGACCTTTCAGCATCGAAGAAACCAGGAGTGTCGATCAGATTGATGCTTCTACCATTGACAGATTTGGTTTCAGCTTGAGAGCAATTATTTGTCAAGCCATTGAGGTGATTTATTTGGAATATGGCCTCTCCAAATATGGTGTTAGCCAGGCTACTCTTTCCAACTCCCGTTTTTCCAACGAGGACGATTCTCTTTGTAGCTCGCACTGTAAGAGAATAAGAATTCTGTTTCAGTTCATCAGTCCCCACACATTGGTTCTTGAAGGGTTTTCCCTATTGGTTTATTGTGCTGGAGATTTAAACACAAGGTGCAATTAGGTTGAATTAAGTAAATCATATAGGTGTGGTGGGTTCATGGTTTTACTGAAGTAGATAGATCTGAGACACAGATCACAGAGAATTGTTTTAAAGTTTATTTTTGTGTTGATAGAAAGTTAGACGGATGTTTCTAAGAGACCTACCTTTTTAGTCTAGCTTTTAACTGAATCTCATTTCATCTAGTTTTTTAACATTTTTAACCTCCTGTGTTTCCTCATTAAGAATTAATGTTCGTGTTTCCTCAGTCCGTCAGTACCTGTTTTAAAATAGTTATTTTACCTTAGTTTTTGGATCGAGGGGTAGCGGTGGGGGAGGGAGTCATGTTGTTGCTGTTTGATTTATATTGATGTAAAAGCACTTTGTGATATATTATTGTATGAAAAATGCTATTCAAATAAAGTTTGATTGATTGATTGATTGATTTCTAATAATAAAACAAAAAATGGAATTCCATATACTGTATACCCCATATTTGATACAGACCAAACTTGAGGTAATTATACAATTCCAGTTCGCCTCTAGTTGGGGGCAGGGTACAGATGATGACCAAGCATCACTCATCTGACTTCCAAACACCTTGAAGACCCTACAGCCTATGCTCATTTGTTGTTTATTGATTTAAGTTAATACTTTGCAGCCATGATTCGGACCGGAGCAAATGAACCATAGGTGTAAAACTGACTCAAATCCATTTCCATTTATGAGCTAAAAAATGCAAGACCATCGGAGACGAGATTGACTGTGACTCTTGTGTCTTAACTCATTTTATTAGTTTATAGACGTAATCTTAATTTATACAACTGTGAGTGAGGTCCAAGGAATGTCAATTGGACAAAGGGCACTCGGTAAGTGCTGATCTACCATAGAGTGCCTAGTTGAAACTAGAAATGATCAATTTGCCGCTCATGGTCCTGTTTGCTTAATAAGTCATGCAGTTGCATCTATAGATTTCCTTTTTCATGACAGTAAAAAATTAAATATATGAACAATATTTCAAGCC